CACCATTCAGACCACAGCACTGTCACCCAACACCTGTGACGTGAGAACTCAGCACCATTCAGACCACAGCACTGTCGCCCAACACCTGTGATGTGAGAACACACACACCATTCAGACCACAGCACTGTCACCCAACACCTGTGACGTGAGAACTCAGCACCATTCAGACCACAGCACTGTCGCCCAACACCTGTGATGTGAGAACACACACACCATTCAGACCACAGCACTGTCACCCAACACCTGTGACGTGAGAACACACACACCATTCAGACCACAGCACTGTCACCCAACACCTGTGACGTGAGAACTCAGCACCATTCAGACCACAGCACTGTCGCCCAACACCTATGACGTGAGAACACACACCATTCAGACCACAGCACTGTCACCCAACACCTGTGACGTGAGAACACACACACCATTCAGACCACAGCACTGTCGCCCAACACCTGTGATGTGAGAACACACACACCATTCAGACCACAGCACTGTCGCCCAACACCTGTGACGTGAGAACACACACCATTCAGACCACAGCACTGTCACCCAACACCTGTGACGTGAGAACACACACCATTCAGACCACAGCACTGTCACCCAACACCTGTGACGTGAGAACACACACCATTCAGACCACAGCACTGTCGCCCAACACCTGTGACGTGAGAACACACACCATTCAGACCACAGCACTGTCGCCCAACACCTGTGACGTGAGAACTCAGCACCATTCAGTGGAGGCTGCACCTGCACCCCCAAGTGTGGGCCTGGGGGGAAGGGTGGAATGAGCTGTGACACGTCTTAAAGGAGGCCTGGGCTGTGCAGACAGGTAGACAGAGGGGTGCTCTAAGGGTGGGCCAAGTCCCAGAGGCAGGACCCCAGGCCAGTATAGCCCCCCAGGGAGAAAGAGCCGGAGAGGTGACAGAGGGCCTGCCACTGGGCCTGCAGGGTCAACCCCATGGGCTCAGCAGGAGTTCGTGTTCCTCTGGGAAGGGAGGGTCAGAGGACAAGGGATGCTGGCAGGTGTGCGCGGGAGGTGGGCCTCTCGCACTGCCCCGGGCTCCCGCGTCTCGACATTACCTCCCTCCATAGCACACAGGAAAGCAGTGGGCACGCTCTAACTCCCAGGAGACACCTGCACCCGCCCGCCCAAGCAGTACCGTCAGCCAGCCTGGGCGAGAGGGTCTCCAGGACGCGTTCATCCCAGGGCCGGATGCTGAGGCGCAGGTGGTCCAGTAGCTCGCCTCCCACAGGCCCCATGGCCAGAGCCGCTGGCTCCTGGATGGACTCCGGGCTCCTGCTTTCACAGCAGGGTGCCACGACCTCCGAGGTCACCTCAGCCGGGGACAAATTCAGACATGGCTGGGGCCTGTTACAGATGCCTGGGAGGGACACGCGAAATAGGCTATCAGGTGATTGTACGGGGCAGGGACCGTTCCGCCCCATCCACCCCCCTGCCCCACATCACAGAGGAGGCCAGCATGAGGAGACAGAGGCCAGTTACTACCTAAACACAGGGTGGGGGTGACGGGGTGGGGGTGATGGGGCTGGGGAGAGGGCGGGTGCCGTAACTGGGAGAAAGGTGCGGGGCTGTAAGGCTGGCAGACGGGAGCTCAGCTCCTAGCCTGGCCACTCCCTGGCTGTGAGGGCTTCATCTCCACATCTGGACTCATGAGGTTGGAAGGCGAGGATCATGGCTAACTCATAACAACCACACCACTAGTGGGGCCTGCATGCCGGGCCCTGAGCTAGCCACCTCGTCATCAGGCCTTACAGCAGCCATCCAAGAACTACCATTGTCAGCACTCTCAGCTGAGGAATCAGAAGCACAGAGAAGTTACGAGATTTGTCCAAAGCCACTCAGCTAGTAAATGGCAGAGCCAGGACCTGAAGGGAGGTCAAAGAGGACCTTTCGACTCCGTGGCCTTGACAGCAGGACGACCACGCACCTGCACCTGCACCTACACGTGTCAGGCCTGGCCGGGGCTGGGGCTCGGGCGGTACGGTGACGAAGGGGTGCCTGCTCTCGGGGTCTGGATGCTGGGTCAGGTAGGGAATTTCAGATTCCCACAGGCACACCGGGCTCAGCTCTGGCTTCCAGTCGCAGATTAGAAAGGCCCGGCGTGCTCCCTGATGCCTGCACCTCGCCGCCCAAGGTGACCTCCCATTTATGTTTCCCCTGGACCTTTCTGGGCCTCTGCTAGACATACTCCCCACCCTGGGAGAGGGCACGTCCCCTCAGGTAGGCATCACCCACGCAGGCCATACCCCTCAGGTGGGCCATCACCCACGCAGGCCTACCCCTCAGGTGGGACATCATCTCCTTGCCTTGCAACAGGGACCTCACCAGCTTTCCCGTCCTCCCAAGGCCCTAACCAGTGAGCAAAGGCCCCGGCTGCCCTGACCAACTGCTGAGGTTGGAGGCCACGACCTCATCCTTGGGTCTTCCTCTGCTGAATCCCCAGTTGCCCATCCCAGGTCTTACTCCCCTTCACACCACCATCACTGGCCTGACCCTGGCCGAGCCTCTAGCCACCTCACTGGCCTCCTGCTTGCTGGTATTAGCCTCTCTGCACTGCAGCCAAAAGGGCCTTCCAAAGTAGTCCTCTGACTCCCCTCGCTCCTGCTTCAGCAACCTTCAATGGCTCCCTACTGCTGCAGGATGCAAACCCTTCACTATGTTCACAAAGACCAGCCTGCCCGCCTTTCCATTTATTGTCATTCCTGTCCCCCTTTCTACATCTGTCTCCCAGTGTCCCCAACACTGCCACTCCAGCTACACAGCCTTTGTCCCACCCTGTCCTGCGGGTCTCACCTCCGTCCCCCTTGCTGAGAGCTCCCCTAATTCATACTGAAGTCCCCACATGGATTCACATCCAGCCTACTTCCCAGGCCTCGATGAGCCCTCCTGCATGAGCCTGCAGCACCCTGGGTCTCCCTTCAGCAAACCATCCTTCTGTTTACTTATCTGCTCACTTCTCCCGTGAGACTGTCAGCTCCACGCCCTGTCTGTTCCCTGCAGTGTCCCTAGTGCATAGCCAGTTGCATGGCACCAGCAGGTGCACAGCAAACAACCTCCACATAGAAAAACTCTCAGTCTCCTTGGTCTTGCCAGAAAGACTATCTGAAGGACAAACACATAGGCCAGCTCTTGGTAACAAAGTAACCAGCTCTAGATACGTGCAGCCTGTGGTCCCACTGCAGTGTTTCCAGACCCGACTCCTCCTGCCCTGCCTATCCAGGGTGACTCGAAGGCCCTGGTATGAACAATCTAGTCTAGGGAGTGAGACTCACCTGGGCTGGAGACGGCAACTCTGCTTCATGCGGAGCGCCATCCCAGAAACCCTGCGTAATTCCAGCCCTTGTCTGAGCAGAAAGAAAAGGAGGGGTGTGTGCCCAGAACCATGGCAGTTCCCAGTTCTGCCTCTCGGGGAGGGTGTGTGCTTCTTGGTTCACCTCTCCAAACCTGTTTCCCCCACTGTAAAATGGGGTGAAGAGTTCCTCTCCCACAGGGCTCACAAATAGGCTGAGCAAGACAGTAAGTGAAGGCCATGAGCCTTGGGCGATGGAACCAAGATAAATCGCCAGTTTAGCGACTGCTGCAGCTTGTTCAGGGCGCATCTGATCCTCGCCCTACATACCGTTCTCTTCCAAGAACCGGAAGGCATCCAAGTATCCTCGAAGGCATATCTCTCCGAGAACCTGTGAGCAAATCACACACACACGCTGCAGGGGCAGTTGGCACTCAGCATCACTGCAGGCCACAGGGCTCCCAACCCTGAGTCCCTGCGTGTCGCGTACAGCCATCTCGGGCTGAGCCAAGGGCTCTGGGCTCCCACAGGCTGTTTCCTGCAGGACTCAGTGAAGATGCCACGCAGGACAGCAGGTGCTGGTTTCTCTGGTCCCCCTTGGACCTGGGACAAGCCTCCATGCTTAACAATTCTGGGGCGTCTTCTAGTCTTTCCTGAGACAGCAGCTGCTGCTCTCGTTCTCATCTGCACATAACCACACAAGAAAGCCAGGGCAGGGACGCAGCCTTCCCCTCCCTCGGAGCTTGGACGGCTGCAGTGCATGGTCTGGACAGCCTTCCCTCTGGCACCTGCCAGGTGCCAGCAGCTGCTGTCCACAGCCAGGCAGGTCCTTCCTGTGTCCTAGCAGCAGGGCATTCTAAATGAACAGCGAACAGGAAGGTTGGGCCACCCAGTGCAGTGGTTCTTGACCACAGCTGCAAATGAGAACCATCCTGGTAACTAAAACATTGAACTCCAGTGCCACACCCTGTAACTATTAAATCACAGTCCCTAGGGGTCAGCAGGTGGCATGGAAGTTAAGGCAGCTGGATCCCACATAGCAGGCTGCATGGTTTGAGTCCTAGGCCCAGCAGCTTGAAAATCATGCCAGACGTGTGGGTGTATACCCAAAATCCAAAGAAGAAAATGGAGCAGAAGGGACTGTGGCATAGCCATACCCCCTGGGGGATGATTTCTTACTTTCCCTCTCTCTGGTGAATGCACACACCCTATAGCAAAACTGAAAAAAGAAAATAAGTAAAATAAAAATAAAGAAATAAACCACAGTCCCTGGAAGCGGGCTGAGAACTTCAGGTCTGTCAATCTGTTCCCAGGTGAGCCCCAGGGTCACTGCACTTCCGGGACAAGAGACTGCTCTGAGCTAACCGTCGGGGACACGGGCTGTGTGTAGAGAGCTGGTGTCTGCTGGCTGACGGGAAGCGGAAGGACAGCTGCATCCCAGGACAGCCCCGCGTGGGCACTCACCTTGAGATCTGGGGGGAACAGGGCCCTACACAGAAGGTAGGCGTTCCCCGAGCAGAGGCGCAGGCTGAGCTTGGTGACGTTCACGTGGAGGAAGTTCGTGGACTTGACTTTGGGGCAGATGTCGTGCTCCCCATAGAAGGGGGACACGGTGATGGTCGTTCTGGTGTCGAAGAAGGGGATGTTGTCACTCACTCCTCCATCCACGTACCGCTTGGAGGGGAGGAAAAGGACAGCTGCTGGCTCCAGGCCGGAGTTTAACATGTTCCCAGACTCCAGCCAGAAGCGTCTCAGAGCCACGCAGGCGCACACGGGGGAGGACAGCAGCTTCGGCATCGCTCCCTCGGCAAACCCTCACTGCACATTGCTGTGCCGGGCCAAGCTCTCCATCGGCGCTCAGGGCTGCTGTGTGCACTGCAGAGGTGCCTGGCATGTGAAGTCCTGCCAGGCAAGCACCCGTGGGTGTAACCATGTAACATACATAAAGGGGTCATATAAACTAGGGTTTCCCAGCACGGGGGCAGTGATATAAATCCTGCCCCAGAGGAGACAGGAGGCCATAGGTTCAAACCCTGGCCACTTGCTTCTTCAGAAATTTGGGACCAGATATTTAACCTGTGAATCTGTCTGCTCACACACTTTAACAATGAGAACCACACTTTGAGGGACTTTGGAGGCTTTAGTGAAGGGCCAGCCCCATGACCGAGTGGTTAAGGAGCCACATCCTACATGGCTGACCACAGTGCAAATCCCAGCCCTGGCAACTTGAAAACACACTTAGTATGCGCCCCAAATCCCGACCAGATGGAGAAATGGAGGAATCACGGTATGACAGTGGCCATGGGGCGGTTTTCCCCTGCCTGCTCCCACCCTCTGGGAAGCACATGTGCCCTCTGGCTTTTTTGTTGTTGTTTTTAAAGGACACAAAACAAAATAAAGTAAACACCTGCGTTAGGCCAGACTTACAGAGATTTTCCCCTTGGTCTAGAAAATATGTAACTATTATATTTTCCTCTAAGAATCAAATTCCACCATTCACAAGTAACAGATTCTTTTTAAAAAATTTTTGAGATGATTATTTATTTAATTTTATTTATTCATTCATTTATTCTATTTTAATCAAAGAAAGACAAAGAGAGAGGGAAAATGAGAAAGCAAGTCACTAGGTCCGGGACTCGAACTGTGGTCAGCCATGTGGAAGTATCCAGCACCTTAACCACCATGCCACCTGCTAACAGTCCCCAAGTAACAGTTTGTAAGCATCTTACATGTGAACTAGGTCACTGGGAAGCTTACTTTGGGCTTGCGTGCAGGTCCAACGAGCCGGCCAGGTTACCTTACGGTAGCAAGATGTGATTAATTACCCATGAAGTGTGACTCTTGCAGCGCAGGCAGCCTGATCTCGGGGGCAGCTGGGACCATGTCTGAAAGGCTCAAAGGCACAGGCCTACATCCAGACACGGTGCTGGGGGTCTCAGCCTGTCGAATGCCTGTGGCAGAAGTGTGTGAACAGGCTGTGAAGGGAACTGGGGACCAGCCCCAGCAGCTGCCACAGCAGACTTACCACACCTCTGAAGGAAGGCGGGATCAAGCCGCAGTAGAAAGGGATGAAGCAGGAACACAGCAGGGCCTGTGACGACAGAGCCAGTGAGCCACAGCCAGGACACGCTCCTCCACCCCACCCCACCTTGTTTTTGTTTTATTTTGTTTTTTTGCTACAGGGCACATGTGTGCACCAGAGACAAAGAGAGGGAAAGTGAGAAATCACCTCCCAGGGGTGGTCACACCACAGTACCTTCTGCTCTCATGATTCTGGGCACACACATACACACCCAGAATGACTCAAGCTGCCAGGCCCAGGAGCCTGCAGGGCTGACCATGTGGAATCCAGCCACCCTGACCTTCGTGCCATCTGCTGGCCTGACACTCTCCTAATCTCCCTGGTCCTCCAAATGAGCAGGGCAACAAATCTGAAAACGCTCTCTGCGAGTAGGTAAGCCGGTAACAGGTGGCATGAGCTGGCACACGCCTGCACTTCGGGCCCGTGGGACTCACAGTTGCACCAGCACCTTAGCTACACCATATGTGGTCCTCGACTCCCTGTGCTTGCTTACTGCAAGAGCCACATGGGCTCATCAGAGGGACCAGGGATAATGACTCACAGGACGGGACCAGACTGGTGCTTCTCAAATGCTGATATTTGTTAGGGCCATGCGGGACCCAGCACTTTAACTACCACACCACCTACTGGCCCCTGTTTTCTGTTTTTTTAATTGCTGTGGGATGTGTGTGGTTAACATCGAGGGGGGTTAGAAAGCACCCCTCAGTGGGGTCGTGGTCACACTGTAATCCTTTCTCCTTTCGTTAGGAGAGCTTATGGAAGCAGATTCTGGGCCCCTGCCTCGGGATTTCAATGCAACAGGTCAGCAGTGGGGCTGAGGCTGCAACCCAAAGCTCCTAGGGGCTGTAGGGGCCACCGGTCCCAGGAGGCACTGAGCAGACTGTGCCCAGAGCACTGCATAGGAGGCCCTGGTGATTCCTACAGACGACTGGTGCAGGCGGGAACATTCAGGGACTGGCCACTGAGATCCTTCCAGGAACAGAGCTAAGCAGAGGGTGAACTGGCTGCTCGGCTACTGGGCAGGTGTGCCAGGCTCTGCCTTGCACAGACCACCTAAGCCAAATCTGGTCACTCATTCAGGAAACTCTCAAGAAAAGCACCAGCCAAATCAAATGGCATTTTGATATGCAAATCACCATCTCTGTGCCAGACTCAGAACAGTCTTGAAGGAAGGGGTGTAATTATTAGACAATGAAACTGGGGACCAGCAGATAGTGCAATGGTTATGTTGCACTCCCAAGTATTCGACTGGGGTTCAAGTCCTGGACCCCGCGGCTTAAAACACACCAGGTACATGTGCGTGCATGCCCAAAATCCCGAGAGGAGAATGGAAGAGAAGGGATTTCAGTGTGGCCATCTCTCCAGGGGATGATTTCTCACTTTCTGTCTCTGTTTCTGTCTCTCTGGCAAGCACACGTGTCCTATAGCAAAAATATCTCTAAAACAAAGAAAATGGAAACTGTCCTGAAACACTCAAGGTTTAGGGATGTTATGGGACAAGCCGGCTTGATGGCCTAGTAGCTGAGAAAGCTAGATCTTACATGGCCAATTGCAGTTCAGATCTAAGCCCTGGTTGGTTGAAGAACACTCCAGGCACATGTGCATGCATGCTCAGAATCCCCACAGGACTAATACATGGAGAAAGGGTTACAGTGTGACCACGACCCCACCGAGGGATGCTTTCTACCCCCCTCTCTCTGGTAAGCACACATATCCTCCAGCAATTAAAAAAGAAAAAACAAAAAACAGGGGCCAGCAGGTGGCATGGTAGTTAAAGTGCTGGATCCCACATGGCCCACTGACTCTGCGGTCCAAGTCTTTGACTCAGTGGGTTGAGAAATATGCCGGGTGCATGTATGTGCATACCCAAAATCCTGACTTACTGGAAGAGAGGGAACTGTAGCATGTCCATCCCCCTTGGGGAGTAATTTCTCACTTTCTCTCTCTCTCTCTCTCTCTGGCAAGCACATCCACTCTACGACAAAAATCTAAAAGCAAACAAACAAAAAAACCAAAAACAAAATGGATTTTGGGCTATCCAGGTGGCCTGGTGGTTAAGGCTGCTGGATTCTATAAGGCCAAGTTGCGTGGTTCGAGGTCTGGACCGGGCAGCTTGAAAAATACATCAAGTGTACAAGTTTGTGTGTGCCCCAAATCCTAAGACAATGGAGAAGGGATTGTGGTGTAGCCACCCCCCTAGGGGATGAAGTGTCACTTCCCTCTCTCTCTTTCCTATGAGTACACATGTCCCAATGCAAAACCTTCAAAAAAAAGAAAAAGACAGACTGAACCAGCCGATGCACAGTAAGGCTCATGTCACTCACTCAGGTGCAGGGGAACTACACAGCCCTCCGCATCGCTTGCCAGCCCCAGACGAGCAAATTGCTTACATCCACAACTTCATCTTTGGAGTGAAAATCAGACACCAGCACGTTCTTCCCATCAGACACTCTGGTAAGCGAGATGCCTATTTTGCCAGAGATGAGCTGATGGACGTTGGCTGGGAGGTTTTCGTGGAGACCATCACGGAGGAACTGGTTCATATTGAAGGAAGGGTGGAGGATGCCGATGTTCCGCCTCCTGGCCTTCCGGGCGAGGTCCATGAGGATCTGCAGAATCTGGTCTGGGGGCGTAAGACAAATATGGAGAATGGAGTGCCCTGGAGATGAGCTTTGGCAAGACCAGAAACCAGAACACAGGGAAACTGCCAGCCTTCTGTGTCTACTGAGCTCTTGAAAGGTGGCTAGTCTGAACTGGGACGCAAAAACACGTCAGAGGGGCCAGCAGGGAGCATGGAGGGTAAGGTGGCTGGATCCCACATGGTCAACTGAGCGTTTTGAGTCCCAGACCTGGTGGCAGCTTGAAAAATATGCCAGGCACATGGGCATGCGTGCCCAAAATCTCAAGAGGAGAACGGAGGAAAAGGGATTTCAGTGTGGACATCCCCCGGGGGGTGATTTCTCTCCCTCTCTTTCTGGTAAGCATACACACCCTATAGCAAAATCTTAAAAAAGAAAGAAAGAAAGAAAGAAAGAAAGAAAGAAAGAAAGAAAGAAAGAAAGAAAGAAATTAGATTTCAAGGGCTTAGTATGAAATTCTTCATTAGAAATATTTTTATATTGATTAGATGTGAAATGATACTATTTAAGATATACTTGGCTCTGGGACCAGCAGTTAGCGTAATGGCTATGTAGCTGGACTCCCATGTAGTCAACCGCAGTTCAATTCCCAGACCCGGTGGCTTAAACTCACACCGGGCCCATGTGCGTGCGTGCCCAAGATCCCGAGAAGAGACTGGAGGAGAAGGGACTGCGGTGTGGCCATCCCCCCCGGGGGATGATTTCTTGCTTTCTGTCTCTCTGTCTCTCTCTGTCTGTCTGGCGAGCGCACGCGCCCTATAGCAAAAACGTCTCAAAAAAAAAAAAAAAAAAAAGACATACTGGGCTCAGTGGAATTCATTGCACTCGCACCTATTCCGTGTTTCAGTGAGGCTCCTGTGTGGCTTGCAGTGCATTTCTGCTAGACAGCACTGCTCCAGAACTAGCCTCCTGAGACCAGCAGATGGCGTAATGGTTATAGCCCACATAGTCGACCACAGTTCGAGGCCCAGACTCAGAGGACTTAAAACTCATGCCGAGCACGTGTGCATGTGTACCCAAGATCTCAAGAGAAGGAAGAATAGAGGAGAAGGGATTGTGGCATGGCCATCGCCCTTGGAGGGGGATTTTTCACTTTCTGTCACTCTGGCAAGCGTATGCACCCTATAGCAAAATACTCTCAAAAAAGAAAAAAGAAACAAGCCCACCACTTGCAGCAGCCCGGCCAAGTGTCCACAGAGTTGGAGGCCGGCACATGCAGCATGGTGCTCTGGCATGGACTGCAGGTCCTGGGACATGGGTGCAGGAGAAAGAAGGCAGGTTTGGGCCCCAGTGTGAATCCTGCTTCCACCCCTTTCTAGGGATGACCTCAGGCAGACACTTGGCCACCTAAGCCTGGGCCTTTTTGATGGAGGACAAGACTTACCTACCTTTTGGAGGCAAAGAGGCTTAGACAAATATAATCTGTAGGGTGCTCCATTCAGAAGAAGCTCCTAGGAAACCGGCCTCAGTCTTAAGCCTCTAATGCCAAGTGACCAGACAGCATAAGGCAGGCAGCCATGGTCCACCTGATCTGCTGCACTGGCATGGCCCCCTGGCTGGTCTGCACTGCTATGGCATGCAGGACCACCAAGCCCACCAGCCCGAGACCTGGCGCTAGCCATAAACCCAGTGACAGATAAAGAAAGACATGCGTCCACCTGCCCTGATCCAACTCTTACCTTCACTCACACCACTTCCTCTGCCAGTGGCCCTGCTGAGCCCAGCCAGCTGGAGTGGAATTGCAGGTGCTGGCGAGCTCTGCCAGTGTCTCCTGCCAGGTCAGCCTCTGCTTACAGGCAAGCGGAGCTGTGCCCAAGTCACAGCCCCTGAGACAGGAGGTCAGAGCCGGGTGCTCCAGAACACAGGGACTGGCTCCTACCAAAACCTCCACATCCACTTTCTAGAGACTCGGTGTCCCTCTCTTCCCCTGTCCTGCCAGGAACAGTCCCAGGCTGCCCTTGTCCTCCGCCTAGTTAGGAGGCCCTTCCACACTAGAATCGCAGGGCTTTGAATCTTGTCCCAACTCAACACTTGTCCACAGGGGCACCCACAGGCCACCTGGGGATATAAGATGCCACTGTCAGCACTGCTGAAGCCCAGAGAGGCCAGAGGCCATGCAACCAGTCTAACCCTGCTGTCGGCCCCACTCGTGCCCTTTGCTCTCTCCCCCTGACTGGGGAAAGCAGACAGTAGGCAGGCAGCCAGGGCGGCCTCTCTCCTAATCCCCACCTCCCAGTCAGCCCAGGGTCTGCTCATGATCCTACCCAATGACAGGGCTTCACCTAGGCAGGGGCTTCCTCACCACTGGGAACAAAGTCACTCCCTGCTGGCACGGGCAGGCAGGGCAGAGTCAACTACTCAGGAAGCCCAGTTAAACGGGGACTGATAAGGGGCATTACCTTCCTGTCTGGGACCTTAGGGTATTAATGGCTCCACGTGGCCACTTGTCCCTGGCCCCGCCCACTGGCTCAGGAAACATCCCCCAACACACACAAACACACACACACACACCTACACCTACGGCACTTTGGTCAGTGGGACTGACGCTGCACGCCAGTAGCTCAGGTTAGGAAGTAAGGAACCCTGCGTCCACGGGTACCTGGATGTGTAATTAGGACACGATTCAAATACATGGGATCTCACTTCCTACGGCTCTTAGCTGGGGGAAGGAGGGTAGGTCCAGAGGAGGCAGGGAAGATGTAACTGGGATATACAGGGGTCTACTCCAGCCCCCAGGGAGGGTTCCAAATACTGGAGAAGGGCGAGGAAACAAAGCCCCTGTCCACAGCCCACAACCCCTGCCCCAGTGGTCACGGCTCCAAAGCAGCTGCCCTGCCCCTTTGAGAGGTACCCACTAGCAGAGGGCAGGCGCCCACCCGGGACCCAGGCCAAAGTTGCACTCTTGGCCAGACCCAGGGCTTTGGGTTCTGGGCAGCTAAATCGCCCAGCTTCCCCAAGAGGAAACGCTGAGACCACAATCAACACTACGCTCCGCCCCCCGGGTCCCGATCCCTCCTCCACATCATTCCAGGGTGATTTGGCTCTCAGTTCCAAGCTGGTGGTTCCCTTCAAGCCCAGGCTCTGGGGTGGGGTTGGGGTGAGAATACGCCAGCATCCCCAGCATCCCCGACTCCGAAAGTCTCTGCTCCCGCTGGGACCTCCCGGGGTTCCTCATCCAGGAGGGCTGCTCCCGGCCGGTGCAGCACCACAGCTCACCCCGCCTCGCAGCGAAGGGCGAGAGGACACTGAGGCGCAGGCACCTGTCTGGGGCGGGGGCCTACGAATTGCTCCTCGCAGGTCTTCGTCCAACCTCGGCTCCTCCCCGCATCCGTACCCCCAGGGTCACCTGCTCCTCCGCCCAGGGGTCTCCTCCGCGCCGAGCCCGGCGGCTGCCCTTGACGCACCTAGCGGGATCCCGGAGAGGAAGGAGACACAGTGCAGCGCCCCGGCGGAGCAGCCGAAGAACATGCGGGCGTCGCGGAGGAGGTGCGGGGCGCGCTCGCTCAGGCAGTGGGTCGCCCCGACGTGGTAGAAGCCCAGGAAGCCGCAGCCGGCGAAGGACAGGCTCCAGCCGCGCTCGGGATCGTACATGACGGCGGTGGCGGGTTGGACCGTGCAGGTCCCGGGTTTGGGTCCGAGCACAGTCGGCAGCTGCTCGGTCTGCTGCTTTCAGGCGGGCCTCGGAGTAGCCGCGCGGCATTCCCGTCGTGACGTCAGCCGCGCCAGCCCCGCTTCCCTCGGACCATGCAAATAAGCCGGCGAGAGGACCAATGGGCGAGCAGGACGCCCGCCCCGTTCCCCCCCTGTCCTGGACTGGAGGCGAGGGGAGGGGAGGAGAGGAGAGCTGAGGATCAGCGCCGGGAATCCCGCCCGGGAGCCCGCACTCATCTCCGGAGAAAGCTTTCCCGAACTCCCTAAGACAACGGAAGTTCTGCAGAGAAACTGCTCCCTTTCATGTTCCTCTCCATCTAAGTCGGCAAGGGAGCCGCAGCGGGTGCTCGCTTCCGTCCTTCACAGCGGCGCGGACCAGCGTCTTTTGACACTCGGTTCCTTCTGTACTTGGGACAGCCGGCCTAAAGCAGCCACTGTCACCTAAAACAGGCAACAAACTGGTCTTCGCTTTGGTGTGCAGAATTTTGTATAATTTTCTTCAATTCGTGGCAAGTGATAGGATTTTTCATTTAATGATGATGACACGATGTTTCCATTTCAAAGTTTGTCTTAGTAAAACTTGTGAATGACAGGTGCTGGGGGTGAGGGTGGGTGGCAATGGCAGAACCAGGACATCTGGGAAGCTCAGTCTTGATTCCTGGTGCCCTGTCATAGCCAATCTGACTGCTTTAGAAAAATATAAATCAGGTGGCTTATAAACAACAAGCACTTGTTCCTGGCCGTTCTGGGGGCTGGAAAGAGCACATCCAAGGTGCCCGCAGACTCAGTGCCAGGTGAGGGGCAATTTCTCAAAGAGGGCACCTTCTCCCTGCATCCTCACATGGTGGGAGGGGTAAGGCAGCTCCTGCGGTATCTTTCCTGTTCGTTTGCTGTAGAGTAAGTACATTCTCTCACCAGAGGGAGACACAGAGAGAGAGAAAGTGGGAAATCATTTGGGGGGGGTGCAGAGCTGGCAATGGCCATCTCGATTTGGGGTATGCATACGCATACATCTGGCATGATTTTCAAGCTTCTGGGCCCAGGACTCGAATCACAATGTTGCCATGTGGGACCTATTGCCTTAACCTTCACGCTACCTGCAGGCCCTTGGGGTATCTTTTTTTTTTTTTTTTTTTTTCTCCTGCAGGCCCTTGGGGTTTCTTTTTTTTTTTTTTTTTTTTTTGAGAGGTTTTTGCTATAGGCGCGCTCACCGGAAAGACAGAGAGAGGCAGAGAGACAGAAAGCGAGAAATCACCCCCAGGAGGGATGGTCACGCTGCAATTCCTTCTCCTCCATTCTCCTCTTGGGATCTTGGGCACGCACGCACATGCGCATAGCGTGAGTTTAAGCCACCAGGTCTGGGACTCGAACCGTGGTTGACTACATGGGAGTCCAGCAACACAGCCATTATGCTAACTGCTGGTCCCTTGGGGTATCTTTTAAAAGAACACTAGTCCCATTCACGAAGGTTCCACCTCCATGTTTTAATTACTTCCCAAAGAATCCTACTACTTTATATCATCCTTGGGTGATATGAATTTTGGGGACACAAACATTCAGGTCAGAGCATGACCTTAGGGGATGCCTAAGATGTCCTTTGGCCCATATCTAGCACTGAACTGAGCATTTTTATAGCAGTCCATGCCAGGAGGTTCACCATTTGTCCAGAGTCCCGCAGCCAGAGAATCCTGGTCTTCTAAGCCGTCCTGCCCCCACTGGAGTGGACAGACGCTCCTTCCATGAGGCCTGTGCAGAATGCAGAGAGTGTGGGCCTTGGAGTCAACCTCTTCACCTCTCCGTGCCTCAGTATTTGCAAAGCCACCAGTGGAGTTGTCAGGACTTAAAAGGTCACACCTGAGAAGCGTGGGTCATGCCGTCCTCTGGGGTTCATGGCCTCCCACCCAGCCTAGCTTTCCCAGTCTGCAGCATCCCCGGCTTTCCTGACAGTGTGGGAAGCAGAGCAGGGCTGCCTTGGGCCTGCACCCTGCACCCAGGCTGTCTCCTGTCTATGAACCAGACTCCCAGGGTGTGGGAGCTGGCGGCCCTTAGAGAACACCGGGGCTGACCACCTCATCACACAGGTGCTTTGTAGACTGAGACCCAGAGTGAGGAAGCTCAGGTTCCAGGGACTGTCTGCAGAGCTGGGAACTGAATGGTGGCTCTGTCCACCCTGGCCACACTGCTTTTGCTGGGGTAAGGTTGGGCCTTGCCCGCTCTGGTTGCTCTCCACTTCCACCTCGCGCTCAGGACTGGGGCAGAACTGAATTTTCCGAGTCAGAGAATGAAGACTTCAGGCAAGTCAGCTGGGGCCAGGAGCGCTGGCCTCCGGCTCCCAAGCAGGACCCTTCAGCCGCACCCATCATCCCTCCTTTGTTGAATGACCACTCTTAGAACTAATGACGGGAGGGCCAGACCCTGTGGCAGGACTTTGAGGCTGTGCCTAAAAGCCCCAGAGGTTATCCTGTACCAGCCTCAGGCATTCATATTCTTTTGCTGTCCACTGACACTCACTCCTGGCCATCTGACCTCTGCCTTGTGACCCAGATGGGGGTAGGAAGGAGATGAGGCTGGAGGGTTACTCCCTGCTCATTACTGAGTGTCCACAGCAGATGAGTTCCCTGCACCCCACTTTGCAGAGACAGAGAGGAAAGGGCTGAGTGAGGGTCTCATGGTCCAGCTCTCTCCCAGTGTCCAGCTTTGGCAGGGACTAGACCACCAGGCCTCCAGGGCACACGTACTAGCTTCTCTGATGGCTGGCATTAGGACCTTGTGAGCAGCATTCAACCCCCTTGGGGCTTCAAGTTTCTTATCTGCACCATGAGGAAGAAAACACCTGTGGGAGGGAGGTTGAGATACACAGGCTTCCGGCACAGTGTTTGGCAGCACCAACTTTGCCCCTGGGCAGCAGGGCCTGCCCTGGGTCCCCATCTGGAAGTCTTCCTCTCCAGTTCTCACACAGCCGAAAGTGCAGTGATCTCGCCGTCAGTTGCCAGCATGCTGTGCCATAAACCTCTCCTATCGGGAGCTTCTGTCAGGCCCTTGGGACATTCCCCCGTCCCTCCACCTGATCCTGCAAAAGCAAAGGGCACTGCTTTGCCCACGGTACAAGGATCTGTGGTTGCACCCTGCTTGCGTCAGGCACGGGCACTGCTTTGCAGAATGGGAAGCATGAGCAGCTGAAGCACTCAGAAGAAGGGAAAAACAAATGAACACGTCAGATCCTTCTCAGGTGGCAGAGAGGCAACTGGCACTTGCATAGAGTAACAAGACATCATTTCTGCAGCTCCTCGTGGTCGCATTCAGGGTATGGGTGACAGATAATAGCGTGGGCTGATTGTACACGAAGACCAGGAGCACCACTCAAGATCAAGCAATTCACACTGCTATTAAGCTCGGTATCCACAGGTGTGGCCACACGTGTGAAATGTGATACCTCGTCTTTGGCAGTCAGATACGAATGAACAGTACAATTGTAAACTATCTTTTTTAAAATTCTCAGTTAAATAATTTAGACTTAAAACTTTTCAATATTTTTTGAGAGGTTTTTGCTATAGGGTGCATGTGCTCGCCAGAAAGACAGAGAGACAGAAAGCGAGAAATCACCACCCAGGGGGGATGGGCCACACTACAATCCCTTCTCCTCCATTCTCCTCTCGGGATCTTGGACACGCACACACACATGCCCGGTGTAAGTTTAAGCCACCAGGTCCAAGACTCAAACCGCAGTCGACTACATGGGAGTCCAGCGACACAGCCACTATGCCAACAGCTGGCCCCAACTTTTCAGTATTTTTAGTATTGAATATAACACAATCAACTAGACTTTCGTAGTGTTAGCACTGTACTTTTCTGCAGCCAGGGGAATCCCTCTGTCTTGGATAAGCTGTGATATTGACCTAGACACTTGACCAACCCGAAGTGTCTTATTCTGAGTGGATATCAGAGGCAGATCTACCTGGTCCATAAGAAGTCTTCAACAGGGACAAGCAGATGGTGTAATGGTTACATTGCTGGACTCCCACATGTCTGGCTGCGGTTTGAAACTCCCGAAGGGCATGCGTGTGTGCCAAGAAGAGAATGGAGGGAAACTGCAGTGCGGCCATTCCCCCGGTAGGTGATTTCTCACTTTCTGTCTCTACCTCTCTCTGTCTCTCTAGCAAGCGCTTAAGCCCTATAGCAAAAATCTCTCTTAAAAAAAAAAAAAGAGTTTGAAAACGCTTCAATAAATCCTAGCCATTACCAATCCTATTGGACAGGAGATGGCCAAACCACTGGCCCAGAGACCTGTGAAAAGACAGAGAATGAGAGGCCGGCTCAGAATGGAAAAGAACACGTAGTTGACCTCATTTCTCAGGGACTCTGTACTCTAAATTTGCCTACTTGCTAAAGTTTATTTGAAACTCTGAAATCAAAATGAACACATAGTTGACCTCATTTCTCAGGGACTCTGTACTCCAAATTTGCTTCTTGCTAAAGTTTATTTGAAACTGAAATAAATATTTGTGACTCTTTTGTGGACATTTGTGGACACACACAGAACAGCGTAGAATATTGAGTTGCCTGGTTCCCAGCTGAGGTTAGAAAAGGTGACACTCTGCCTTCTTGCCTCAGCTCTCATGCTATAAGAAATGTCCTTCCCATGGCCTGTTTGTCACCAAGCAAAGGCTCACCCCCCTATGCATACAGATGCGAGTATTATGGCTGGATCTTGAAGCTAGAATTTACTGCACAGATGGCCAGTTAGGATAGAGGAGTAAGCCTCAAACTCATCTCCCACACCCTCTGGGGCTAGGGACTTTTATAGGACAGTTAGAGGTGGCAGTAGGCTTTCAGGTTGGTTGTTTGGGACTGGCTGTTAGTAGGGACCTTCCAGCGTCCCCAGGTCTTGGTACGTGGTGCAGCAATTCTCGCCACTCCAACTTCTTTTCCTGGTGGACTTGGACTCAGCTTTCAGCTTGCGTGGTGGGCTGAATTTTGGTTCCTCTTGCTCTCCGGGGTACTTGAGGTCAGACACACCTTCTTCTGCACACCCACCCTGCAGGAAAGCCCACAC